TGGTGATACTTGACGCTGAGCCAAATGAAAATCCAGTGGGTTTATGAAACGTGAATACTTCAGAGGGTCGAATAACATAATATTACAAACTACATATTACATAATATTATAAATGTCATTATACCCTGTGACGATGTTATTTCAATAAAATTCAAAATTCAAACTAACAAATAGTATTGCGCCCGATTTGCAAACGAAATCACAGAATTTGATCGACATCTGCGATGGATCTATATTTTCTGTGTTGGGGTCACCGTGTAAGGACCAAACGTTTGTATCCTTTATCCAAAACGACTTACCACTTTTGTAGAAATCAGCCGTTTTCTTTCGCCGTTCGCAAAACAGCTATACAGCCGCAATTTATGGCATGGTATGGAATTCTTTTTTTTGTTAGGTTTGCCATGGCCAAGTATAGATCGTCCATCACAGGATCTGTTGGTTAGCGATGAAAGACATTGCATAGGTAAACAATGACAATTCCTTGGTTCGCGATGAAGAACTTCTTTGGTGGTTGGAACGTTCCTGTCGATGCTTGTAAATCATAGCTAAGTTCTGGTAAACGTCGAACGCATGTCTTGTAGGTGCTTGTTTTGATACTATGAAAAAAAAACAGAACAATTCTTCCGAGTATGCTGGTAGTATTCGATAACATATAATCGTTAACATGACAGTGATTGCATTGACACTCATTACGACGAAAAAAATAACTTTCATTATGTTACAACGATTAAATCGTACTTTTAATTGAAAAGATATTTGAAATACAAAACTCATGATAATGGTGATATTTATAATGAAAATAATAATACTAATGATAATAGTAATGAGAGTTTTAATGAGTATCATGTTGGGAATGCGCAGTGACAACAAATTGAATGTCGTCGCAAGTTTTAAAAAGCGACTGCGTGATTCTTTTGGCAGTTTGTGCCAATTTTATTCGAGCTACTTTATATTTCTTATTATAACGGTGATAATGTTTTGATATGGTAGATGGAAAATCTTTGTAGTGTAGTCTCATTTTGTCCCAGTGAAGTCTCATATTACCCCAGTGTATCCGTGATACATTTGTCACATATCTTGATGGTGTTTTTTTTGTCTTGTGGGTGTGCGTGTGGGATGTGTACGTGACGTCAATGTTTGATACCTAACAGGTGAAAGATTATGTTTCCTTCCGATAAGGAACGAAAATAGACTGCTAATAATATTTTGAAGAACGAGAATTAGAAACAAGTTGAAAAACTCTTAAAGGTGATATTCAACATTCCTGCATGCTTTAGCGAGCGGAGGCGAGGAGAGTCACGTGACGAAAAACCGGTATCACCTGTTTTTTGGTGAGAAATGCGCATGCTCGACTCGTCGGTGCTCTCCATACCCTGTATGCGTTAGCGAGGTTAGTCACGTGACGAAAAACCGGTATCTCACCGAAGTTTGCTTTTGAACAACTACAAAAAAAAAATCGGTGAAACTTCGGCGTGCGTTAAAAACACCACAGAGGTGGGTTTTTCGATTTCGAATTTTTGGTCGCGTTTGCCGGTAGTTACCGGCGAAACACCGGAATGTAAGAAAAACCAACAATTTTTGGTTGCTGCGTAAATGCAGCTATTTGTCATACTTACATGAAGCCGAAACTGCCAGTCTCTGAGACACATCATTCTAAATAAATTGTTACAGAGGTAATGTGTTACTTTAAGAACTAGAATTTGCGACTTAGCGTCTTTGATTTCGGTGTGGTAGTAATTAATGACATTCTTCAAGGAGAAAGGAAAGCTATAAATTGGAGCAAATTGAGATTTACCTGTCAAAGGATTATGAAGGAATCCATTCTTATTATTGTAACGCTCCTGTGCTGGTTGGTAAAAAAAAACTTTCCTGGGATCAATGAACAACGTAATGCTTAGTGCTTCACCTGGGAAGGCTTGTTTTAAAAAATAAAGAATTTAACGGAAAAAAGAATCCACACTTGAATAACGGAACCAAAATGTTAAAAAGAAAATGTTGCATACCCGAACGTCGAAATTAGGTAGATATTTATTTCTTAACCAACGGTGTATAGGTTATGGTATTGATGTAGGTATTAAAATCTGGTCACACCATGCCGATTGAAGATACCAATTCATACCAATACAAATTATCACCTCAATTTTCATACCTTCACTTGTGGCAAAAGATATTAAACGGTCATACCACAACGATATTTGCAACTTTAATTTTGGGGTTACAGATTACATGTCTTTAGCTAAAGTGACAGTTTTTTTGTTAAAAACCATGTTGAAATAGTATTGGCCCGATCTGTTTTAGTGCAATATCAGTGGTTTAGTAAATGCGTTGGACCAACATGTTTGACCAGTTGGTGATTTGAACATCTCCTACCCCCCTATTTAGTCGTGGAATCCAAATTAGTTGATCACATTCCGGTCCCTAAATATGCCTCTAATATTTATTATTATGTAGCTGTGCCAGCTCGGAATACATTACCCAAGCTTGAGTAAAAGATAGCGCCATCTTGCGTCCATGAATACCAATTTTAGTCAAGTTCGTTATGTTCATCAGTGGTTTTAAGAGGAGTGGCAACCATCAAGTTGTTTCTTGTTTCTTTGTAATATACTGTATTTCTTTTTTGTCCAAAGGCCAAGCACGTTTTTGCAGGTGGCAAACGTGTCAAAAAGTGTCCTGTCAAAGTCAAGTGAATACGATTTTTATGCATGTCGAATCCTCCGTTTCGTTTTGAAGTGTTCACCTTTCCCCCTTTCAACCACCCCCTCTCTCTCTCTCTTTCTCTTTCTCTCTCTCTCTCTCTCTCTTCCTGTCTCTCTCTCTCTCTTCCTGTCTAAGTCTCTTTTCCTGCACTCTCCGTTGCGCTCCGTCTTCCTCTTTTCCTCCTAATTCTCTTCTCTATTATCATGTCTCTTGTCCTCTTTCTTATTACTGCGCCCTCTGCTGTCCCCCACCCCTACACTCTCTAAAATCACTTTCCTCTTCCTCTCCCCTCTATGATTTCCCTCTCTTATTATATCTCTTCCTTTCCCCTCTCTTTGCTTTCTCTGTCTTTTCTGAATATTCTATTTCCCGCTCCCCATTCTCTCCACACCCCTTCTCTCTTTCTTTCCTCGTTCGTAAAGAGGTCATGTTGAGCAGCACCTCCCTCGTCCAGTTCAACGTCTTCTTAGCACAATTTCTCGCGCGCTGGTTTCTCCTAAAGACACATACTGTTATACACACGCACACTTCGTACCGCACGGTACCGCTACGCGCACACTGACGAGAGTTAGTCTTGTAATGAGCAGACCATACTTAGACTCGGTGCCTCGCAATTAGTGATGTTGACCTGTGTAGATCTCTGAGACACAATGTCAGATGAGGTAAAGAATGATTTTCCTACTGGTCTTGATTTCGGGAGTTGTATTATTATTTCGCTATTACAACCAAGACTTGAGCTTGGAATTTAAACACAAATACTAAAAGATGGATAACAATAGTTTTAAAAAAACACAAACAAATTAAAAGAAACTTCCGAGTCTGATACATAAATATATGAATAACAATGTGTTATAATCAAATTATTACACATTATAAAGTTAATGAACGTAAGCTCATGAGTACAATTTTATTATGAGTGTATACAACATCATTTAAGGCACTTTCTTACAAAAGTGAAGTTCTCGTACGTAGCTACGTTATTTCATATATGATGGAACAGAAGAAAAGATAACGGTGATTGTCCTATTTTCATCATGCCATTGAATAGAGCCAACTTATTAATGCTTGACATTGTTAATCCCGTCATGCGAAATGATGAAAATATGAGAAGGTGACTTTGTCTTAAAATACGTCTACATCGAAATTAGCATGGGATGATGAAAGTAACTCCGAATAAAGGTGCCTGTGAAACGATTCATCTCGAAAATGTGAGACTATTTTTAGCCGTAACTGTGTCGAGATGATAAACAGATTAGCGTGTCAAAATTGCAGATATTTTTCATCATCTCATATTCATGAAGTCGCAATAATATAGATCATTCTCTTAATCTACTTCTATAAGACTACCTACCTCTCTTGAACCACGCTATTTAGCTCTTATAATGAGCTAAAGAACAAAAGATAATTCCTTCTAACACTCTCATCGCTGATATTTTTTTTTTCTGAGAGTGTGAAACCTTTTTTTTTTTACCTGATTTTCTCTCAGTTCGGCCTTTTGGAATATTTATAGCTTCAAGGCAATTTATTTCGAAATGCAATTCTGCCACCGCATAGCTGTTATGCAACTCTTTTGTAGCATGATGTTCTTGTCTATTTTCAAGTAATTACTCTATTTAAATTAATCCTCTTCAAACTTCTAACAAAGTTCTGATGGGCAAAGACTATTATCTTGGCAATCTGCAATCCGAATCAACTTGACAATGAATAACGTCAATAATAAAGGTCAAAGGTTACTTCCTGACACTCTTCTGGGTCACGATTGGTCAACAATACTCGGTTAGGGGCACACATATCGAATATTTAACCCTGTTCCTTGCTTGAGATACAGATATAAAAGTGAGAGCAAGATAGAGAGATAGGAGAGAAAGGTGAAGAGAGAGATAATAAGTAAAGGAAAGAGGAAAGGGGAGAGGGAGAAATAGATGTGAACCCTTTAAATGGAAAGAAACATGTAGCATAAATGAAAAAATCGACGTATCTGGTGTAAAGTGAAATGATGAATAGATTCTGCTTTCATATCGAGAATTAGGCGTAGGCTGTTACACATTTTTGTTTCTGAATCTTCTACCCTCCTTGCTTTTGACCAATATGTGCTTTATTTAACAAATTATATATCATCTCATCACAGGATTGATAAACCCTAGTCTTATTTAGTACCAGTAGTGATTATGTAATCGCAACAGTAAACATTTTTTTTATCTGTTCAAATGGCAGAAACCCGCAATTCCCATGTTTTTTTATAGTGTGATTTCTTCTTTTATATAACCAGTCACAATTTGTGTTTTTTTCTCACTAACTTGCAGAGGGTCATCAAAATGGTTGGGTACAGGAGTCTTGACACGAATGAAGAAGTCGAGTACAAGTTTCAGTTTTCAGAAAAGGGAAGGGAGGCGACCACTGTGACTGGTGTCGATGGAGGAGACTGCAAAGGAAGTAAACGAAGGTTAAGACCCAAGTACAGAAGAACAGCAAACCGGTAAGCACAAGAACCATAGAGATCATAGACTGTAAAGATTATTCGGACCCTGGTTCGAGACCGAGTTACGTCTTTTGGATGGGGACGTACTGACGTTAAAGGTCGGTCCCCAGACGTAAATAATCATATCCGATTGGTACACATCGGTAGAAACCCAATTACACACACCAATATACATTGTCCAGTTCAACTAGCCTTTACCAACTTAGAAGACATAGCATTTTGGGGTTTCGTCTTGCGTTTCCTTTGAATCATAACAAGATAGGACTTTCAGATGTATTTAGGCATGGCAAAAACCGGGTCAGATTAAATTCTTGAAACACTTGTTGCAGATCGATCGCAAATAAGTTGCGATTAATATCAACTCTTCATAAGACGAGGCCCAGAGTTCAGGAGCACCATCAAGACTCTAAAACAAAATAAAATTGTTAAAATAAGTCTTTGCAATCATGTTAAATTGACTCTTTAGGCAAACAGTCAGAAGTACATCATATTATAATAAACGCATCTTACAAAATCTTTCCCGCGTTGGACATAAGATTTCCTAAAACTTTTAATAAACTGTACATACCTATCTGTTTCTGTTCACAGGTGCTTTAACTGTGGCAATTCTGGACACCACGCCAAAGACTGTCCAGAGCCACCTCTACCTAAACGGTGCTATGCATGCCACGCGGAGGATCACCTCTGGGCAGACTGCCCCAACAAAGCTTCTCAGGGAAACAGCAGCAACGGCAGTGGTTCGGGTGAAGAGAGCCCCAAGACAACGGCAGAAGAGGCATCACCCAGCAGCAAAGCTGAAGAGGATGGTGAAGGAAAGACCTAACCAAGGCCAAGATACACCACCTTCAAAGTACTTCGTATAGAATTTTTTTTTGTTGTATTTCCAACATATAAGAAACGCAAGTGGGAAGAGAAGGATAGTTTGCTCTTCTGAGTATGACATGACTTTTTTTTAATGCAGAATGTTTATTTACAGATTATGGCAAAGACAGACAGTTCTGATTTGAAATATTTCCTCTGCAGGACTCTTTGGCAAGATCTTACTTTGTCATGTATGTAAGGGTAATTGTACAGTTGAGCACACAGCTATCAGCGTGTGGATCTTGAAGAAACAGTTTATGGATGGGTTCAAAGGCATACCGATGTTCCTTAAGCAGATGGAGAAAAAACAAGATATTCTCTCTTTAGATATGACCTTCATAAAATTCTAACCATAGACTGATAATTAGCTTGGCTACCATTCTAATCATTAGCTTATATCGGCCCTGCGGTATGAAACAATAGACTTAGTTGAATTAGTGGACCTAGTTTAAGCCATACTTCATTTTGGTGATACAGACGTCACTTTCCTGTTTGATTGCTGTTAAATATTTCTTTGCAAACGTCCTTTTCGAGTTTATATGTACCCAATACACCACAAGAAGAGAGATTTGTCCAAATTTCATTTGCCATAGTTGTAAAGACATTCCAAAGGCTTTTTAATTTTCTTTGTTTAAGGATGAGATGTTATAGGAGCACTTGTTGTTTTTGTAGGAAGAATTCCTACCCAAGATTTGAGATTTGCTCAATCGGAAATCGTCCCTGGTTGGATTATGAAACAATTTTTCCTTCATACTACACAATCTATCAGAAACAATTGAAAGAAAATCCTCAGTACATGAGTCAGCAAACTACAGAGTATCTCAAATTCTTTTCTATTCGCTTTGGACCAATCTCAACCTATTCCCTTTTAAGGTTATACATGGAGGTTTTCCAGCACAAGCACATGGGCAGCATATCACATTGAAAGATTCATCCATTTAAAGGGAGCATTGGTATGCCAATTGGTTGTAGGAAGGTGATGTTTATATAGTTACAGTCTCAGGGCTTTAAGATTGAATTCAGTGTATATAATGACTTACTTTGTGACTGTAAAGTCTATATGTGAACGATGAACATGGAGTTTCTCTAGCAGCTTTGTGGAAACTTTGCTATTATGACGTCACTCACTCAGGTGTTATTCAGTTTTTACAACGTGCGGATCACGTGCTGGTGCTAAAGCGAGTACTGCAATCATGAATATTCATGAGGCCTTAACCATTTCCTTGTATGTGATTGGCTTGTACGTTAAGATATAGTGAAAATGTGTCGTTCCACAATGCACCGGGCGTGACTTGAGATGTTTATTCAATGCGCGTTCTGAGATATGCGACTTCTTTCCGGTAGTGACAGGTTTCACATTTGACTTTCAAGGGCTATATAGTTTAGTCATGCTGCTGGCAACTGGTTACAAGTTTTCTGATGTCACTATAATGAGCGGCGTGCACGAGGTGTCATTAGGGACTTTTAGATTTACACGACGAGAACGTGGACTGCCACGTGTGACATCCTTTTAAGGTAATATGACGTCCTTTTAAGGCACTGCTGGGCACGACCCAGTGCCTTAACACAATGTCACACGCTGCAGTCCAAGCTCTCCTCGGGTAAATCTAAAAGTGCCTATTTAAAGTAGGTCACCATCGGTGACTCGCTGGTCTTTGACGGACTATAAGTGACATCTTATTAAAAGTGAATGCGAAATGAACTGTGCATAAAATTAAGTTAAATAAGGCCTACTGCCGTATGCGCCAATCGCTTTCATAAGGTTGATTGCATACGATCTAACGCTATTGAAATAACGCTTGGTGTGCAACAGGCATTTGGCGTTGAGGAAGCAAAACCGGTTTAGTCGCACCATCGTTAATGATGGTTATGCATTCAGTCAAAATGGGTGAAATGTTGTCTTCCGTACGTGCCTTGGAAGAAGAAAAATTGTGAATATGCGGAACCAAAGGAATTTTAAGTTGTATAAGCATATACTCTTACTTTATTTTTTTTTAGTAGGAACGACAAATTGAATTTTAACACGTGGAGACATTTACGGGCATCTGACATTTTGTCCGACATCACGTGCAAAACGAAATGGTATACTCCTGTTGGAATTCGGGAGATGACTACCTCGGTACAGAGTATTCTACCAAGTGTTTGCTTTATGATAAAAGTGAATCGAAATACTCTGTATGTCATTATTCCTTGGACACCTAGGTGGTGTGTATGTGTGTGTGTGTGTCTTTAGCTTGTGAGCCTTAAAAGTATGAGCAACACACATATTCGGTAGCGAAGACTTGTAGGTTCGAGTGTGGCCAAATATAGCCGGATCATTCGCTTTGCTATATCAGCATCGCAAGTTGTATTGTTACTTTTTGTCTTTCGATGGGTTTTCCAAAAATGCAAAATCTTCGAGCAAAACACCTTCACCCACCCTCGTACAAACGATCTCCAAAGTTAACGATATAACTTTTCCTCATTTGTCAAAATGTGTCAAATTCTGTGACATTTGCAAAGAACTAATCGCGTTCTCCGCAATGTTCTCTTAACGTTCCGTGTTGTAGCTTTGCTGACTGACTCGCACAAAGTGCTCTTGCTCTGTTCAAGATTATAACCCACCCTCCAATTTAAATGCTCTCCGTAAGACCAATATAACCCGACTTATTCTATTTTATTTTATTTCCACAGGGGGTAAATTATGTTCGGCTTTCTGACAGGGTTATATTGAATAACCATAACTCGTTAGTTTTTGTTCATATTATTGTAAACCAATATCTACCTCATATACAACATGCCAGTCGTACGATGGATGAATTTGTTATGAATATTTACTTTGTCTTTAAAAACATTTTCTTTTGTAACCTTTAAGTATTCATAAGACTCCTAGGTCATATTTCACTTAGTTTTTTTCTTAGAAATTGAAAATAGATGTAAAGAATGATTTGTAGAAACTTGGAAGTAACAGTAAGGGCTCTGTAGATAATTGTGTACATACGAAATTATCCCAAAAATCAAGTTTGAAAGTTTAAAAACTGAAATCTTTCAAAATGCACAAATCACCTTGTCCATGCCATAGCACTTGCTAAACAACTCATAAAACTTGAAATAAAACAGATCTTTTTCGAAATAAATAATTTTTTGTTAAAGACTATACAACCTACTTACCTCAAAGTAAATTGAAACGGTTTATTATCTAATTAATTAACTTTACTAATGTATTATCAAAACGATAAGGGGACTGGGTATATTCTGCATAACACGTAAACAACAAGTATTCACCCTCCGTTTCGGGTGTGTTTTGCGTATTTGTTTGTGTTTGCTGTTCATTACTTAGTTTCTTTCTCCGGAAAAAAAAAATCAATCAATCAACTTAAAAATATTTCATGTACCTTATATACAAATGAATTTCTAGTATATTTTTTACAAGCTTCGTATGTCACTGTCAGCGTAATACGTCTTAGGTGACATTGTAACGATCAGTTGCGTTACTCGACGTGCAGTGAAGGTTTTTGTATAAATTACTAAAATCGACTGTGACAGATACTGGATACGTGTGTATGCCAGTTATGTCATCTTAATTACCAACAGTGCGTTATGTGATAATTAATTAGTTAGAATAATTATTTTAAATCGGGAACACACTAGCTATACCTCTATCACTTTGACAGCGGTCGTTCTGTAAAGCAATTAGAGACGTCCGAGATTTATTAAGCGCTATATAAAAGCTGAATATTATGATTATTATTATAGAAGGAGGGCCGCTCCATGATGACAAATCTTTGGTTATTTGGGCCTTAAATACGAATTAGACTATTGAATCATTTTTACAAATTGAATTGTAGAAGATAATTTAATCACTTTTGTACTTTTGGTTCTCCGTTCAGCTGAGAATAACAATTAGTCAATAAAAAATTACCAGTATTGTATTTGTGCTGCATTAGTAGGACATATTTATACGTAATCTATGACTATGTCACTTTTGCAGTAAATTGACATTGATTCAAACGCGATGCTGCTTCCTTGTGTTTCAACACAAAAAAACAACTCTTAATTGAGAGGGGAAAAAACATGAAATAGAAACTGTTATTTGAACTAAGTAATAAGAAATATGAATATGTTAATGATTTAACAATTTCCTCTTTATTTCATTCATATTCTAAATTTAAGAATATTTCATGAAAAGAAATAACAGTCAAATTTTAGATATTGGAGCATAATGGCTATTGTAAAAGATCGAATTTATTTCATTGTTAGTTTTAAATGATATTCAAAATATACACGTCTCATATTGAGTTGTGTTACAATATTATGTGCTGCCTTTAAAATTTATTGAACTTATCGCCTCGCTGCCTTTGTTAAACTAAAAATGTTGCATTTGAAAGGTAACAGCATTATAATACTTTATTACACAATATGAACTCAATATGAGTTGGTGTGCATTGATCAAAATGTACAGTCTAGTGTATATCTCTTCAGTTGTAAAAAAAAAACACACAAAAAGCTGCGAAAAAAATGAGATTTGAAGAATTACAAAAATGTTCCTGTTGTACGTCCCCCTAGATGAATTCGGTAGAATTGTTTATTTTAAGAGATGGAATATAATCTACCTCACAATATTTTGCATTTACTCCAAACATTAATATGCACATCTATAATGGTTATACTCGTATGTTTTTTGTTGTATTTTAGTCATCTCAGACTCTTAATTTCGAAACAATTTTGTGTCCATTACATCTTAAGTTACCGAGGCAACAGTGTGTGATGACTAAACTTGAGAACTTCTATATGACAATATGCGTGGACAAGATATAAATGCTAAAGGAGGTTGGTCCTAGATTGTGTCAAGAGGGAGGAATTTGAATTATTGGTTGTGAGAATGATTGCAATGTTAAAGCTGCATTGACAAGGATACTTAAGTCAAATTTTGTGACATCGGTGCATAGGGGTAACAAACGTACACGTATGTACATATTCTGACCATGTTTCTTCAATACCAATCGCCTTTCATGTACACGTGGCAAAGAGGTATTTTCATTTTTTCTTTCTTCAAATTTTGTGTGAAGTCTTCAGTTGTTGATCCATACAAACCACCGACTTTATGAGTAATTTATGGGACGTAAACACAGCATTAATGCCTTCAAACAAATAAACACACTTGTATATTTGTTTTGCTTCATCTTATCGTTTTATACCTTATACACTCAGGCCATTTCATCATCTTGTGTATATAGCATGTTACTACATCTCGCGTTTTTTGTTGTTCATGCATATAAGCCTATTTGAGAGATCTTCAGTGTATTTGGAGCGAACAGTATTTTGTACTATATAATATTTTTACTTTGTCATATTTTGTTTGTTTTGTTGGTGTAGAATAGAATATGTGCTCTTAGCAGTCAAGAGTGAAGGAATCTCAGGGATTAGTATTTTTTTCACGATTCTTAAAAAAAATTAAAAATATCAAAAATATCATTTGATGTAGATTCCAAAGACAACGCCGCGCGTACTCTTGAAATGTATAGTCTTCTTCTCCATTCGTTTTTAATGATTTGCTGCAAAAGTATCTTTAGTTGTTTGTAGGAACGGCTCGCATTTAAACTACAAGTCGTTGATCCTCAAACGCATAAGAAGTAAATAAAGGCACGTGGATGTTTTTCTATACCAGTAATACTTTTTGTTTGCTGACACACAAAAAAGGGCGTCTAATTATCTCATGCTCATTGATGTAGTGTTTCTATTGTTGTGGATATTAGGAACGTATCGTCAAATCCTTTGTCAATAGATCGGTTTACTAAAATATATTAAAATTTGATGCGTACTCTTTGAAAAAAGATTGTTCTTGACAAACTTGCCAGACATAGCAACAAATAATGTATGTAGACTGGATTCAAAGTATTGTAGTTCACTCATTAGTAACATGTTAATGGAATAACTCGTCACTAGGTCCCCAGGAAAGAAACATCCATCATGTAATATGTTAGTACACCGGTCTCTTCTAGAAACCCATTTTGATAGGCATTCGTCTGTATTTTATTGTAAATTCTTATACTCATTCCCTGTACATACATTCCACGATTTTCCTACATTTGTAATTAAGGAATAAGATATGCAGCCTGCTCAAAATTAAGGGAAAAACAAATTAGAAATACAAATAAAAAACGTGTAAAACGAGGAGAAAGAAGAATGATGAAGACAAGGGATCAGGAAAGGAACTGGAAGAGGCAAACAGAAGTCTTTGTTGAAATTTGTACAAAATGATGTTTCCTCAAAGAAAGTCGAAATCACAGAAAAGAGGATGGAGAATGATTATGGGGAAAGGAAGAATGAGAGGCAGAAGCAAAGAAATTTGAAAAGGGGTAACAGCCATCTTATTTCATGAATTAATTGTTGAAATGACAATACTTCGTATCTATTTGAGCTCTAAAGCAATACCCATCTAGACATTTCGATTTAATTTCTTGTTCTTTCTCCACGGAAAATTGCCCTCTTCACATTCTAATACTCCGTTATTTTCTGAAAATTCGCTTTCATCAGATGCTCGTGTTGTCACTCTGTAAGTGTTAATAATACAAATATTAACAGACGGTGTGCTTAAGACATGCATACCTCAAAGATTACCTTGATGTAAAGATGATGTTTTCAAGGTACCATTTTTGTATTTGATATTGAATAAATGATTTGTTTTGATCAATTACGAATGCACGATCAATGTCTATTCTGTGAACTTCTTTGTCGTCTAAATGCCAGTCACACTTTCAGGCAAATCCATGTGATGCCGAGTAATACCACCACACCCAACCCCTCCGCCCCCCCCCCCCCCCCCCCCTCAAAGAAAAAAAAGAGAGACACTTGCGATTAATATTTGTCAAAACATGACATTTTCCATTATGGCCATTACGAAATTGTATTATTTGAATGAACAGAGATCAAAAACACCTTTTAGAGATAAAAACGATATGGAAAAAGGCCTTTTTGAAAATTGATAATTTTTGGCTAAAAATGATGGGCTATTTAATCCCCTTGCCATTTTGGCAAAAAGGGGCATTTTCTACATTTTATCTGCAATTACATAGTTCGAAAAACACGGGTCATAGCACCTTCTAGAGGTAAAAAGATATGAATATAGGCCTTTTTGGGAAATTAATAATTATTGGACAAAAACGATGGGCTCACCCCTTGCCACTTTTGTCAAAAAAGGGCACTTTCTACATTTCATGAAATTATCTGCAATTGCATAGTTCAAAGGTAAAGACCAGTATTGGAAACGCCCCAATTTCAAAAAATGAAATGGAAGCTCTTATTACCAATCATGTGAAAGAATATGTTTTGAATATTACATGATGATACAAATTTTGACGGGGAACCGCCTATTAATTGATATATTTGGTAAATTAGTGTATCTCTTGCCTGTTGAGAGATACAAATGCACGTGTCGCGCACGTGTGTGTAGTCCCATATACATCTTTCTGTGTACAGTGCTTTAACTTTATGAAGACTTGGCCAAATTTCTTATCATTTTGATGATTCCAGAACCTTGCAGAACATCTATGCTAGATGATCAACCTTTTCTGATCGATTTCACAACGTTCCTTTCACAATGCAATCGCATGACCATAACTGGTCCTTAGCTTTAAATAAACAGGTGTCATAGACACCATTTAGAGATGAAAAGATATACATACAGGCCTTTCTGGAAATTCATAATTTTTGGCCAAAAATGATGGGCTAACCCCTTGCCATTTTTGTCCAAAAAAGGCATTTTTCAGTATTTCATAAAATTATCTGTGAGTACATAGTTTGAAAAAACAGGGGTCATAGACACCTTCTAGAGATGAAAATGTATGAATATAGGCCTTTTTTTTAATTCATAATTTTTGGCCAAAAACGATGGGCTAACCCCTTGCCATTTTTGTCAAAAAGGGGCATTTTCTACATTTCATGAAATTATCTGTAATTACATAGTTTGAATAAACAGGGGTCATAGTAACTTTCTAGAGATGAAAATGTATGAATATAGGCCTTTTGGGAAATTAATAATTATTGGACAAAAACGATGGGCTAACCCCTTGCCATTTTTGTCAAAAAGAGGCATTTTCGAAATTTCATGAAATTATCTGTAATAACATAGTTTGAATGAACGGGGTTATAGACAACTTCTAGAGATGAACATGTATGAATATAGGCCTTTTTAAAATTTCATAATTTTTGGCCAAAAATGATGGGCTAACCCCTTGCCATTTTTGTCAAATGGGGGAATTTTCAGTATTTCATGAAATTATCTGTAATTACATAGTTTGAATAAACAGGGGTTATAGACACCTTCTAGAGATGAACATGTATGAATATAGGCCTTTTTAAAATTTCATAATTTTTGGCCAAAAATTATGGGCTAACCCCTTGCCATTTTTGTCAAAAGGGGGCATTTTCAGTATTTCATGAAATTATCTGTAATTACATAGTTTGAATAGACAGGGGTTATAGACACCTTCTAGAGATGAAAATGTATGAATATAGGCCTTTTTTGGAATTCATAATTTTTGGCCAAAAATGATGGGTTAACCCCTTGCCATTTTTGCCAAAAAGGGGCATTTTTCAGTATTTCATGAAATTATCTGTTAGTACATAGTTTGAAAAAACAGGGGTCATAGTAACCTTCTAGAGATGAAAATGTATGAATATAGGCCTTTTGGGAAATTAATAATTATTGGACAAAAACGATGGGCTAACCCCTTGCCATTTTTGTCAAAAAGAGGCATTTTCGAAATTTCATGAAATTATCTGTAATAACATAGTTTGAATAAACAGGGGTTATAGTAACCTTCTAGAGATGAAAATGTATGAATATAGGCCTTTTTTTAATTTCATAATTTTTGGCCAAAAATGATGGGCTAACCCTTTGCCATTTTTGTCAAAAGGGGGCATTTTCAGTATTTCATGAAATTATCTGTAATAACATAGTTTGAATAAACAGGGGTTATAGTAACCTTCTAGAGATGAAAATGTATGAATATAGGCCTTTTTTTAATTTCATAATTTTTGGCCAAAAATGATGGGCTAACCCTTTGCCATTTTTGTCAAAAGGGGGCATTTTCAGTATTTCATGAAATTATCTGTAATTACATAGTTTGAATAAACAGGGGTTATAGACACCTTTTAGAGATGAAAATGTATGAATATAGGCCTTTTTTGGAATTCATAATTTTTGGCCAAAAATGATGGGTTAACCCCTTGCCATTTTTGTCAAAAAGGGGCATTTTTCAGTATTTCATAAAGTTATCTGTTAGTACATAGTTTGAAAAAACAGGGGTCATAGACACCTTCTAGAGATGAAAATGTATGAATATAGGCCTTTTTTTTAATTCATAATTTTTGGCCAAAAACGATGGGCTAAACCCTTGCCATTTTTGTCAAAAAGGGGCATTTTCTACATTTCATGAAATTATCTGTAATTACATAGTTTGAATAAACAGGGGTCATAGAAACTTTATAGAGATGAAAATGTATGAATATAGGCCTTTTGGGAAATTAATAATTATTGGACAAAAACGATGGGCTAACCCCTTGCCATTTTTGTCAAAAAGAGGCATTTTCGAAATTTCATGAAATTATCTGTAATAACATAGTTTGAATGAACGGGGTTATAGACAACTTCTAGAGATGAACATGTATGAATATAGGCCATTTGAAATTTCATAATTTTTGGCCAAAAATTATGGGCTAACCCCTTGCCATTTTTGTCAAAAGGGGGCATTTTCAGTATTTCATGAAATTATCTGTAATTACATAGTTTGAATAAACAGGGGTTATAGACACCTTCTAGAGATGAAAATGTATGAATATAGGCCTTTTTTGGAATTCATAATTTTTGGCCAAAAATGATGGGCTAACCCCTTGCCATTTTTGTCAAAAAGGGGCATTTTCTACATTTCATGAAATTATCTGTAATTACATAGTTTGAATAAACAGGGGTCATAGTAACTTTCTAGAGATGAAAATGTATGAATATAGGCCTTTTGGGAAATTAATAATAATTGGACAAAAACGATGGGCTAACCCCTTGCAATTTTTGTCAAAAAGAGGCATTTTCGAAATTTCATGAAATTATCTGTAATAACATAGTTTGAATGAACGGGGTTATAGACAACTTCTAGAGATGAACATGTATGAATATAGGCCTTTTTTAAATTTCATAATTTTTGGCCAAAAATGATGGGCTAACCCCTTGCCATTTTTGTCAAAAGGGGGCATTTTCAGTATTTCATGAAATTATCTGTAATTACATAGTTTGAATAAACAGGGGTTATAGACACCTTCTAGAGATGAACATGTATGAATATAGGCCTTTTCAAAATTTCATAATTTTTGGCCAAAAATGATGGGCTAACCCCTTGCCATTTTTGCCAAAAAGGGGCATTTTTCAGTATTTCATAAAGTTATCTGTTAGTACATAGTTTGAAAAAACAGGGGTCATAGACACCTTCTAGAGATGAAAATGTATGAATATAGGCCTTTTGGGAAATTAATAATTATTGGACAAAAACGATGGGCTAACCCCTTGCCATTTTCGTCAAAAAGAGGCATTTTTCAGTATTTCATGAAATTATCTGTAATTACATAGTTTGAATAAACAGGGGTCATAAAAACTTTCTAGAGATGAAAATGTAAGAGTATAGGCCTTTTTGACAATTCATAATTTTTGGCCAAAAACGATGGGCTAACCCCTTGCCATTTTTGTCAAAAGGGGGCATTTTCAGTATTTCATGAAATTATCTGTAATTACATAGTTTGAATAAACAGGGGTTATAGACACCTTCTAGAGATGAAAATGTATAAATATAGGCCTTTTTTGGAATTCATAATTTTTGGCGAAAAATGATGGGTTAACCCCTTGCCATTTTTGTCAAAAAGGGGCATTTTTCAGTATTTCATAAAATTATCTGTTAGTACATAGTTTGAAAAAACAGGGGTCATAGACACCTTCTAGAGATGAAAATGTATGAATATAGGCCTTTTTTTTAATTCATAATTTTTGGCCAAAAACGATGGGCTAACCCCTTGCCATTTTTGTCAAAAAGGGGCATTTTCTACATTTCATGAAATTATCTATAATTACATAGTTTGAATAAACAGGGGTCATAGTAACTTTCTAGAGATGAAAATGTATGAATATAGGCCTTTTGGGAAATTAATAATTATTGGACAAAAACGATGGGCTAACCCCTTGCCATTTTTGTCAAAAAGAGGCATTTTCGAAATTTCATGAAATTATCTGTAATAACATAGTTTGAATGAACGGGGTTATAGACAACTTCTAGAGATGAAAATGTATGAATATAGGCCTTTTTAAAATTTCATAATTTTTGGCCAAAAATGATGGGCTAACCCCTTGCCATTTTTGTCAAAAAGAGGCATTTTCGAAATTTCATGAAATTATCTGTAATTACATAATTTGAATAAACAGGGGTTATAGACACCTTCTAGAGATGAAAATGTATGAATATAGGCCTTTATTTGGAATTCATAATTTTTGGCCAAAAATGATGGGCTAACCCCTTGCCATTTTTGTCAAAAGGGGGCATTTTCAGTATTTCATGAAATTATCTGTAATTACATAGTTTGAATAAACAGGGGTTATAGACACCTTCTAGAGATGAAAATGTATGAATATAGGCCTTTTGGAATTCATAATTTTTGGCCA